CAACTGTCTGCAGCAGCAGGGCCCAGAAACTGAAGAGTCTTACTCTTTGCCTCATCAGGTGCCACCAGCCACACACACACACAATTTGACAACAGGAATCAGTGTCGTCTTCCTCTTGAGGATCATGTAGCCGTCCCGGAACTTCACCCCACACCCCCAGCACAGCGCAACTTGTCAGCCCACCCGCTCCGAAGCTTCCTTGGCCAAGGCTGCCTCAGTTTGGGAAAGTGGCGGCCTCTAAACCTCCACAGCCGGCTCGATTCGCGGTCTATCGTAGGAGCCAAAAAACGACAAAGTGGCTTGAAACGTCAGGATACTAATCCATGAAGGAGGGCTTGCGAGACGTGCCTGTGAGGCCTAGCCATGAGCTGAGGGGTCGAAACCCCGCAATTCAACAGATAGGATTGCATGCTGGAGACTGCAGACTTTAAGAGAATGTAGAAGTGCACCATACATGTGTCTATGTACTGTTACGGGGGCCTCAAGGAATCAAGAAAGCAGAACACCTGGCCAACCCGGCACAAGGGGCTTTTCTGGCATTTGCTGCGCTCCTGATAAGCGGCTTGCTAGCAAGCAGCTGAGACCTTCGCACCTTGCTTCGCAGAACTGCACTGCAATAACGCTATGATAGCAAACAGATCCGATAGCCTTCGCCAGCCGCATCTCAAACGAACCAAACTCGCCGGTGGGCGAAGTTCAGTCAGTGGACTGAATTAAACCCTAAATCCTAAAAACCCTAATTAAACCCTAAATCCTAAAAACCCTAAATCCTAAACTCTAGGCGGAGCACCTCGGGTTCTGGAGCTGGGGCCTGGTGATGCTGAGTTCAGGGCATCACTCTTGTTGCGGGTCACAAGACCCTTGTACTTGCCACCTGCACCAATAGCGGGGGTCTTGTTAAGAGATTGAACTTAAGTTACCATAATGGGGATCTACAGTAAATAATATGATATAATATAATATAATATGGTGTCCTTGTTATGGTAACTTAAATTAACAAGAACCCAGCCAATGGCGGTGGTTTACTGAAGCGACTTGCAGTAGAGTTTAGGGCGGCCGACGGCTTAATGTTGTCCTTGTAATCGCCATTCATGTTCCTATGAAGTGAGGCAAACGAAGAATTATACTAAATACTAACTGTCTATTACAACAATGCCATCGACATCAACCTCCCCCACCGCCACCGCCAAATTCACCCAGGCACAACGCAAAACTGGGAAGCAGCGTCCCGCCTGTCATCTACGCAGGATCTTTGGCCGTCAAGCAGTTTGAGTTTACGTTTACCCCCCCCCCCCCCACCCTAATTCCGGCAAACACACTCTTAACTGGAACCTGCCACGACTCCAGACCCTGAGAAGAATCGTTGAAACCCTAGATCTGCCGAAACTGCCGCCAATGAAGCCCTTGAGCCCTAATGTCGGGGCCTTAATAACTAGAATAGGGTTTTGGGCTGCTTGATAGTTATAATAAGGAGCCCCCAAAAGAGGGAGACCTTCAGGCGCCAAGCTCTGCACCAGAAGGGTCTGGAGACCCGAAAGGAACTGGCCCTGAACCTTTCTCCAAAGCCTGAAAAACACCCGAAGACCCAAAATTCGAAGCCGGATCTTGGTACCTGGACGACGGGGAGGCATGGCGACCTCCGCAGAGGCTGCAATCATGTCTGTCTCTAAAACAGGATTGACTGTCGGAGCGATGTATTTTTTGTTGTGGAGGGGGCACTGTTTGCGAATTTGCCCCCTGGCCACCTACAATTTAAACAGCGGATGCGATTTTGTGCATCCTGCGAGACGGGCGGTTTGGGGTCTATAAGGGCTTGTGTTGAAGACTAGGCTTTCCAGCAAACCGCCTCACCAGCGTCTGGGGTTCAGGGCTCCTTTGTGGGAAAGGAGGCTCATGACGTTGTGACATTCTGGTCTACGCAATAAGCTCAAAACTCTAAACCCTAAACCCTAAACCCTATAACCCTAAACCTCAGCCTGCTTTGGTGGAGTCGACTAAGATCAGCCTGTGGGGCGACTCTCGGCTCTCTGACGGCTTTGGGGTCGCCTCTGAGCCTAGGGTAGGGGCCTTAATCATTCAACGGTTTAGGGTTTAGGGTTTAGGGTCTAGGGTTTAGGGATAATTCGAATAGGGTTTTGGGGGTATATTACACCATAGTTATAGTAAGGAGCCCCCAAAATGGTATAGGTCATTCTTGCGGCCCCCTATATTAGGGCTTAAGATCCTGGGCCGCCTTTCTCAAACCTCCGAGCTCTAGAGCACAGGCTTTGGATTATTTTGCCTGGCGGTTTTAAGTTTGGTAAGAAACTGATCAACTTTTCAACTATGACGAAACGGGTTCAGCGGTACTTACACCGTTACCATCTTGTCACTATATCATAATCGCAGGACCTATCTGTTACTTTCTGTGCAGCTTGGTGCTTACGCCCCCCCCCCCCCCCCCCC